AATCGTGGAAATGGTTGCCCAAAGCACATTTCACGACGAAATTAGATTTGCACAATTCTTTCCGTGAACATGATAGAGCCATCTATGAAGGGAGGAGATGTGCCGTTCGCGTTGCTCGAAACTGCACGGAAAGGGTACTAATACATGCCTTGCTAGTTTAGCCACTGGTGGGCTTTTCTAGTGGTCGGTATGCAAGTCTGCATCTCTCTGGCCGTTCTTTTTGAATCTCTTGTTTTTATCTTTATTTGTTCTACATGGTTCCCATCTGTGTACTAAACAATTACAGTTACAATCCACTGTTTCAATTGCGCTGCGGTTTCAGGTGCCATTGCCGTTCCGGTTTTACTCTAGCCGACGATGGTCGTTCTTGTGACGAAAGCCTGAGCGGTTGTCAAGTAGCAAACGGTGGCTGTCAGCACGACTGCTACGATCAACCGAACGGTAGCCATGTGTGCAAGTGCCGCGACGGTTATGATTTGGGTGTCGATGGGAAAAGTTGCATCGGTTCGTTCATCTCACTTGCCTGTTCTTTATTATTCTTATCCAGTGAAAGTAAAGAATTTACTTCATGACACTTTTTAAATTATTGCTTAGTTCAACTTAGCTGAAACGACATTATTACCTTAATAAATAAATGAATATTGTTGAGGTCGGACTCTAGCCACCGACTTGCAGTTTCAGCGGAGAGGCTCCAGGCTTTTTCAGAGGAGCTCACGAAAAGCGGGTTCCGACCGTTTTCCTTTCCGTTTTTCGTCCCAGCTACACCGTTCTAAATCCTCCCAACGGGCGACCAATTTACCATAACATCTGGTTTGCTTAATTTGCTGTAATGATCTACTCTACTTACCTATTCACGCTTATTTTGATATCATGAATTTATTATCCGCAACAGTGGTTGTGTGGAAATGGATAGGTTGGCGGACCTACTAAGATGGTATCCGGAGCCGTACCCCTCCAGCGACTTGCAGTGTTGGCCGGCCACTGCCCTTCCTTTCCATGTCGCCACCACCACTGCCCCTCATCCCATACCGAAAACATGTTGTTTCCCCCTATTTATCCTTTCTGTACTACAGTAATCTATTGTTAATTTTTGTAAGCAATTATGTTTTTTATATGAATTGCTGATTATGAAAAACATAGTCAAATAAATAATAATGAGAATTTAGAGTCAATAATCCCATAAATCAGCATTTGAGAAGGATTTCTCCTGTAAGAAGGACTTCTGCTTGCATCAAAGCTTCGAACTTCCAACTCTCATTTTTTCTCTATCTTTCGCGCTCTTTGTCCTCTTGCCTTCCACTCATTGTTCATCTTGTGCAGACATGATATCCTAGATTTGATAACTTCTTTCTATACCTTTCCTCCTCCTTATTCATTTTCCCTCCACGTGCCTGTTTTTTTTTAAATCCCTTGTTCCTCTCTATCTAGCATATCCTGCGTTCTCAGTTTTGTATCGATCAGTGTGTGGCTTTGGATATCTATCATCCCTTGCACTCTATTCCTTTCTTGAATTATCGCGTTTCCTTTTACCGCGAAAAGACCGCTAACTTTATCACTTTGAAGGTCGAACATTCTCCCAGAAAGATGGATCTCATAGCCATGAATGGATGCGGATGTGCCCGCGCATTCTCGTCAGTCAACAGTAGTGCGCTTATTTGCTTTGCACTTCCCCTGGGCTTTTCTAAGTCAAACAATTCACTCACACTTCTCATTTCTCTTTAAATACGCCCTTTCGAACCATCAGTTCTTCCATCTTTTCGCACTATCGTCTTTTGCTCCTTTAGTTAGTAACGCAAGCACAATAATTTTTGAACACTTTGTTGAAGGAGCGGAAGATTGGTGTCGGCTGAGAGTGGCGCTTATCTCAGTGGTGAATAACTAGGGATGGAACCAAGCAACGGCTGGTCCGAGCTATTTTCGCCTTTTTCTACTCACATCAATCTGCCCCACATCAACGCAAGTATCTCCACTCCGCCCACACAACATTCCCATTCATCCCGTGCTTCCACAGAAGATACATGGTCAGCTCAAGAACTCATTCGTCATTACAATTTAACTTTCAAAACTTTCGAATTCTACCAACACTCCTCATCATCCCATATTCCATACATGTATGCAAGACTTTGTCAGATCACACTCACAACACACCAGATTTCCCATCTGCTGGCCTGCACCACACACATTGTGTAGGCCATCCGGCATTGAAATGCCACTAGGATTTTGAATGAAATAAGAGGGCCGCGCCCCGTATCTTTGAAAGAAATATTGTTGTACGCCCACGAGAACTTCTATATTACATCCCTTATAACTTCATAGGCCATTAATCTGCATACCAAATTATGAATGAATATTTAATTACAGTAATACTTTTTAAAGACTTTAGGATCCCTCACACACAACACACAAAGCACATCACAATGATTCCAGGTTTACACAATTCGTTCTTCCTGGCAAACCATTGTAAGATATATATAATCGTGCACCAGACAGATCAAACATCGCAAGCTTCTATCGCGTATGACGTTGAATCCCATCTCCAAAATGAATTCTGCAGTGCACTAGAGCCTAAATAGGTGTGGAATAAAATACCCATCAAAAAGCCAGACGTAACATTGTTTCTCTCGAGTCTTCGCCTCGTGCACACGTTGTTCCGGTAAAGTAGATCACAAAAATAGTGGCTCGTGTAACTATTGAGCTACTGGTGATTTTATTCCAGGGGAGTAGGAATCGTTTGATCAAGGTTCCCACACACCTACCCGTCTAATTCGCACCAGCTCGACATTATACAGCAGTTATACAGGCAGGGTTTCAACTACTTGGTCATTAGGCGGTCAAAACATGCCCCAGCCCAACTAAAGTTTATAGGAAATGTCTTTAATTCAAAACCCTACCTCTAAAATGCGCTGGAAGGGGTCGAAGTCCTCTTGGAGGGGGCGGATCACCCATAAAGAGGCGGATCGCCCAACATTCGCTGTGCAGAGCGCTTGCTCGACTAGCGGTCGTTGCGGGACCGCCGCGCTGTATGAGGTCGATTCCATAAGAACGCAATTGAAGCGCTTCAATTTCGATTGCTGGCAAATAGTTATGTATTTGCAAGCATGCATGGCTATTTGCCAGCAGTCAATTGGAGCGCATGTACTACGGGCAGGTTCGGACAACTCGTCCAACACACGTCTCCCTAAACGGCAGGGGGAGTGTCTAAGCCCCTGCCCGACGTTTTTTTCTACTTTTTCTTTCTCCATTGACCAACTTCTCACCTGCAACGTCATTATAGGTGGTCCTTACCCGCGAATTCGTTCCTGGATTGTTGCTTTAATTGCATGCACTGCCTGATATCCTTTCTCTGTCGTTGTAAATCACACCAAAATAATTGAAAAAAAAACTATATTTTAATGAAGATTGCAAAAACGGGAATTTATCGTAACAGGCATGAAACCATGGGTGCTTTCAATAAAATTTACTTAAACTTAAACCACTGTGCGTTTACGGACACAAAGGTATTCTCTTTTCACATATATCATATGAAAAATGAAGTAAGATGAAAGTGAAAACACAGTTCGATGGAAGAAGCTGCTGAACGAAGTGCAGTTGTGATTCAAAACTTCATTGTCGCGATGGTGAAGGCTTCGAAGAAGATTGGGTGAAGGTCGGACAACGAAGACTGACAAACAATAACTGAGGGTATTCATCAAACCAAATCTGCATGGAACTGTTCAACAGGCCTCTTCTATATCAGTCGTGACTGAGGGGCTTCCTAAATGTCCAGGTGAAGGTGAAACGTCTAGCGAAGTCGACGAGTGGGTGCAGCCGACTTCTCTCCCAACGTGAGCTACAACACTGATCTGCGAACATCTTGCACAGTAGCCCTTCTTATCTACCAACTATCACTTTTCCAGCCATTTGGATAGTCTTTTCAAGACAAACATTGAGACCCAACATGATGAACTAAATGACCTTCGCCGACTTCTTCGCCTACAGAAGTCCGTTACCTTATTATCATAATTTAGTGAATACTCCTCTTGTAATTGAATGTAGAGGGATTGCAATTTGCTTCGATCAAAATGTATTGTTTGAATCAGATATGCGCTTTTGAATTTGAGGGTCCAAATCGGCGGAAACTTTCCGAATATCCCAATACATCGGTCAACGATGAACTATTAGGAACCTATTTCAGCAAATAGTTATTTGTGTTTGGAATACTCTTTGCATAGATAGGTTGCTGTGTCACAAGTGTACACATCGTTGACCGCCTCCAGGAAAGCTAATTCATTGAATAACACCTCAAATCACCTCACCTTATGACTTCAATGACTCTTTAATAGTTCTTCCGTTAATAAATTTGATTTTTTGATGTGGTTTGCTTGACAGAGAAGGAATATTAGGCAGCGCATGCAATTAAGTCAGGTCAATCCCACAGGCAACTCTGCATGAGTGTGCGAGGCAAGGTGCGAAAGTCGACGGAGGTGTGAAATCTTGATCAAACGTCACATACCCCTTATTCCAGTCCTAAGTCGTTAAGCCTGCCTGCGTTGCAGGGTAAAGGTAAAGTAAAGGGAAGGTATCTCATTTGGGTAAAGCAGAAGGGGAGAGTAGTGAGGGTGACCCGTTAGAGCGAATGATTCAAGCCTTTTGCACCGTAGAAAACATTCTCGCGAACGTTGTCAGTCCTCTCCCATCAAGTGATGTGAGAAGCAAGTAATGAGGGCCCAGCAAGGTTGAATATATTGGGGTGAGATCCTGGATAAGAACACGAGTTTGAAAGCACGGCTCGGGAACGATTCAGTGTCGAAAATTAGACTTGGAGTGCAACGAGGAGTGCGAGTGAAGACCAAAGGCAAAAAGTGCCATTAAAAACACTCGAATTTTCAATGTGAGGTCGACAGTGGTGTGACGGTCCGTCACTAACGGAGCATACAGCACTCGCTAGGGAAAATGAGAGATAGTAAGCCCGACGCGAGAGGGTGCAGCACCACGTAGGCTACCATTGATAGAGTGGCAGCCTCGGCAGCGCTAGGCCTTAGGGCTCGCGGCTCCCAGGCTTGGGGATTGCTCGTTCTTATTCTAACAGGGAGTACCTTTTGTGACCAAATCTCGTCCGCCGACTTGTGGCTTTAAAGGCAAGATTCGGGATAAAATAGGTGTGGAAAAGCGTTCAGTTATGAAGCTATAGGTGGGAGGTGGTCTGTAAAAGAGAAGGAAAGCAAACGAAACCACCGATTACGCCCCGTACAGAGACCTCCCCTATTTCAGCCACATTCCACCTTGGGATAGAGAAGAGGCGAATTGGACGAGTTTCACGAACCTAACTCTACTTGCTCCTGTGCAATGACATTGGATCCCGATGGGACCGCTGCCTCAAATGCGCCCGCGCTTTTCAAGCAGCGCCACGTGGCAACCGACAGCGAAGGGTGGGGCTTGCGGACGAAGGTGTGAGTTGCGGGTTGGACGAGCTCCTTGCGCCTTTGTCGCGTACTTTCAAGCCGCAAAAGGGGCCCGACATCAACACTTGTCCACCTGCCTACTACCCCCTGGATGGAACAGGCGAGCCCGCCTGATCGCGGAGCGTGCCTTTAAATGAATGCCAAAGGACGAATCAACGCAGTTCACCTTTTTTACGTACCACTCCTCTACACCACCGGAAAAACTGGAAGTTTTGGGTACCTCCCAGGAGGCCCATCGCGCGGCAAAAAGCGAGTCGGCGGACGAGTCGCGGCGCGTGATGTGCGATGAAGGACGTGCAATGGGATATAATACGCGCACGACTCGTCCGCTGACTCGGCATTCTTGCCGCGCGACGGGCTTTGTGTGGGGGGGGGGGGGGACCCTGACGTTTTCTAGTTGGGTTGCTCTTCTTTGTCATTATAGGGAGCTACTGAGAAGCACCCACACATTGTTCAATTCATCACGAATTCATAGACGTGCAGTTGTCGTGGTGTCACTGCCCTTCCCAATAGTTCGGTTCAGAAATGCATTCCATTGCTCGATGGCAGTCTCCTCGATTAGTTGTCGGCGGTTACGAGGATTCGTCGTGCCTTTTGAATCAGGGTTCATGTCATCGTCTCTGTATGGACTATCGCTCCAACGAGATTCAGTGCTACTGCAACGCTGGTTATCTGCTCAACGAAATCGATAGGCACTCGTGCCAGGGTTAGCAACGGGTTGAGCTAGATCAAGTAGGATGCATAGCTGAACACGCCTTTGATCACGTTGGCACTGGTGTCGTATAAACCTTCAATCACACAAGCACGCACACACTGTAGTTTTAAGTCGTTAGCGGAGAGATAGGATAGTCCCTAAGTAATAGCTCACGCACTCCAAATTCACGGAATCCTATAAATTTCCATGTGATAATAAAAGCGCACCGTCTATGGAATAGTTCTGCCAAAATTCACATATTGGATATTGGAAAATTTATTTTGTTACCCGATGCTTTCACTCTCTGAAACACGTAAACGCATGAAGCTCTCAGAACCTATCTGTTCGCACATCTTGATGGACATGTTCCTGCGTACCCTTTCACACCTTAGTCATTTTTAGTAGTAGTTCACGGAGTGCTGGTAGCGTAGTCCGCTGGAAAGAAAATGGGCTAATCCTGAATGAGGTGCTTTCAGATATCAACGAATGCTCCGTAGGGAATGCGGGCTGCTCACAACTTTGTATCAATCTTCCGGGCTCTTATGAATGTCAATGCAAGAGTGGTTATATCATGACCTACGATGGGAGAACTTGTGAAGGTGAGTGTTACTTGTACTTCGAAGCCTGTGATTCATAGAGCAGCAGAGTGTAGCTTTTTGTCTTAGCCCGGAATTAAACCCGCAAAGTTGTGCTCGAATTGGTTCCCGACTCAATCAAAGTGGGGTCTACATAATACCATGAGGGTGTGAATGTGAGGCAACAATTCGTTTCGTCTCTAGTAATCCCAATTTTTGTAGGGAAAAAGCTTGGTGTGGGTGTAAAAGTGAAAACAAAGTAGCTCACGCACCTCGCTGATTTCCTCCTCCACGAAATTCTTGTAGACCGCACGAGCCATCGAAACACATGCAGCCCCTCCCCCCCCCCCTATCGAATAGACTCGTCAAGTGTTCCCACCATTCTTATGATAGTCGCTGACGCTAATTTCGATAAGGGGCCCATTGATGTCATTGAGTCACTTACAAAACCTGGGACTGAGTTAAGGGAACGGAGGGGATTTTGTGTGAGGACGCGAGCAACCTTTGTTCTCCCTGAGGTTTCTTCCTTCGCCTGAATTCGATCCTAGTATCACCTATCAACGGTTTCTAAATGCTCTGCTTTGAATGTTTCTCCGCTAAAGCCATGAGCGCCGTCGCTATTGTATTTTTTTCCAAAACTAACCATCCTGTTCAAATGTTCCCAGTAGCATTTCAATGTCCTCGGGGAGGGGAGCAGGTTGCTAGAAGATAAATCAATCCCACAGAACTTTTAGCTGATCAAAATTGAAGTGTGGCTAAAATTTCACGAGCCGGTAGAAGGGGAACATGTTGTTTTCGCAAATTGTGTACCGACATCTGTAGTACGTATGGTCACGCATAATTTTTAACTGAAGAAATCTAAGGTAAACGAGCGCGCCGATCGTCGAACAACCCAGTCAGAGTTCAAAAATCCACATGTACTACCCAGTAGGAATATGTAGTATATGTGCCGAGTTTAGGGGTAAGGGTGTAGTATAAGTGATTCTTGGGAGGTGGCTGTTCTCTGAACTCGACACGTTCCTATCTCTACTTATTCTTCCATTTGCAGATATCAATGAATGCGTTCTGAACAATGGCGGCTGTCAACATTCATGTACGAATATGCCAGGCGGTTACAAGTGCTCTTGCGAGGAAGGATATCGGCTGGCCGAAGATGGCCACTCATGCTACGGTTCGTGTAATTAACAGTACTTTTGCATCTCTTCGTTTTCCCAAAACCTTCCTGATGACTGCAATTCCTCTTCACTCGATAGCAGGGCACATAAGCTGTTTGGCGGCAGGCTAGGTTGAGTTTGTCTCTTCATCTCTTCCATGCCTTCATGAAAAACTGTGCAGCCGACATGCTGACGATTTCACTACTTTGGCCTAATTTTGCGCATCTTTCTTCTATTAGCACAATACCGTATTGGTTCAATTGACGGTTGTAACATCTTGATGCATCGCAACCCGTCGGTGGCATAAATAGGGGCGAATAATCTATTCGATCGTACTCATATGAGCAATCTTCACAAAAAATCTGGGTTTTTCAGATGTCAATGAATGCCTTGTGAATAACGGTGGCTGCAGTCAGCTTTGTCGCAACGATGAAGGTGGTCGACATTGCGAATGTTTCGGAGGATACGTGTTAGGAAAAGATGAGAAGACATGCATGGGTAATTTACCAAGTTTTTTTTTTACCTGTACCCTGTCGAAACCCCCTCATAATTTTCAGTTGTGCTTTGGGCTCTGCATAGTACACTTTTCGGGAATGCAGAAGAGAAAAACTGAGAATCACGCAGTTGTCAGGCACTGCGCTACTTTCCGCTTTAATGTAAGACGGCGGTGACAGAGGACTACTGCGAGAGCCCCTGCCATGTGACTTTGTTAGTATTCAATTATGAATTTCAGGTAGATGATTCAAAATGGATGGGGCAGAAGGTTAATTTCTGACGTCAAACTGATAGTTTCTTAGTCTGGGAACACTTCTGCAAAGGTGTTTACCGTGATTCTGCTGTGAGGGCAATCGAAATCGGGGCGACAACTTGGTGAAATTCGGCCAAATAAATCTCTAAGGTGGTGACCACATAGGGGCTACTGGTGGAGCAAACCCTCCACAGTAGGGCCGCAGCACGACAACAAAATGCAGACACTAAGCTAGCACTTAGGAGCGGGCTCCAGCCTTGGTTTGGTCGAGCTGGTGATAGATGTAGAATGCACTTGAAAACGCGATGTTTCAAAAACTGCTCTAGTTTTCGCTTGCAAAAATATCAGCGTGAACCTTTGCCAATTTCTTACACTGAAAAAAGTTTTTAACGTGTTTCTCTTGCTTTGAGTCAATAAATTTTTCCTGCATCTGTAGCTGCTCTACAGTTGGCGGGTTGGGTCGGAGTTGTGCTCATTTTCCATCTATTTACCTTTGACATCCTTGTTGTTACGTACACCCTATGGCGTGAATATTGGTGAAATTGTTTTATGGTTTTTTACTGTCGAAGTATTTTTTCCTTTTTTCCTTATGTACATTGAAAGATTACCTGTTTAGCTGCGCTTTCCGCCTCCATTCCACTTGTTGCATCACGTGAGTGAAAGCCCTACTTTTAAAGACTTTAGTTTAGATGGTTAACCTACGAATTGTAACTCACTAAAGCTTGATGTGCAGTAGTCTTTGTGTGGTCGTAAGCAGTTCCATGCATAACTTTCGAAGTGCATGGACATAACGTAGTGGCATGTGCGCAGAAACTTCGCTGTAATACCTGATTTGACTAGGGGTTTTTGATCTTGATCTCCTACATGAGCATGACCCTTTGATTAGGTAATGTGCCCAGAGGGCATGCAGTCATTCCCGATCCGTTATCCAAATAATATCTCTCTGGAAAGTGTGTCGGGCTGGGAGCGCTTAGCGCGCTCACGCCCCGAGCAGGCTTCGGTAAGACACGTGGAGGAGTGACAAGTTCCATAAGCATATGGCCCACTCCGCTCTCCACTGGGCGACCTTATATCGAAACTCCAACCCAGAACCCGACTCTGACCCTTCGCATTTCAGGGGTTTTTTCCAGTACCAACATCCTTGCATAGTAAAAAGGCTTCCGTTAAGAAATTTCTGCCACTACATTATCGGTGTGATGCTGACACCCTACGCATGACCATTCGTGAGAGGGCCTAACAAGCATTTCTGCATGCTCTCAGAGCCTTTCTAAAATTTCTTGTGGACGGATTAATTGCGTGTATTTTCTCATACTAATACTGACTTTTTCCCACCCTGGCGCTATTGAACTTACATCGGTAACAATTTTC